CGAGACAGAAGGCAAACGGCGAGAATAGGCGGGAAGGCGTTTGGAGGTGCGTGACTGGCGCAGTAGCGCAGTTTCCTAAGACTTACTGATTACATTCTCGCTCCTCGTGGTCCTTGCTTCCCATTCACACATCCTTTCATAGCCTATCCATCATTAGGGTCTCGAGAAGGGGTCTTCGTGTGTTTCAACTTTGACCGAGAAGTAGACTACTGGCATCCATGAGGCGACAGGTCACATCTTTTATGCGACACTGAATTATACTCTCCATCAATAACGGTCCTGAACGTTAAGGTCGCCAGATTTATTTGCATATTAGACCCTTTTCACAAAACCTCACTACCCTTTCCGAACACAACATGAAAACAAGATCAGTGAGAAGTCTGGGAATCAATTTCTTCGGAGTCAGAGCGAGTTCTTTTCTCCATCAGATTCGCACGGAGTTCTACATCTAAAGTATTGAGCTTCAGCAGAAGCGCTCAAATTTTACGAGAGTGGCACCCACTCCCCAACCGAGCGAAAGCAGCAGTACCTTGGTCATCTCGACTTCCGGCTAGTTAACTGGGTTTGCTATCGCCCTCACCTCGTGTACTGCTTCCCATGGAGGGAACTTTGGAACTATCTTCGCAGTTACGGACCTGGCTACAAAGAAGCTAAGGGGAGCGAAGGGTCGTGTCAAGGCAAACGTAATGCTGTTCCGCTGTAGTTCCTAGGGTTACCTTTCAAATAGGGAGAGTTGCCAATGCTGTATTAGCGGTAATAATAGGCGAATGAGGCTCTGCTGCTGCCCGGATATACGGGTAGCGAGAAGGCAATCTCATACGCGACAGAATCGAATCTCATTCATTCATTCATTCATTCATTCATTCATTCATTCATTCATTCATTCATTCATTCATTTATTTGATGAATAGCCACCAATAACTCATTTTAAGGTTACCTTATCAGGTTTCTGATATGGGAAGCCTCACGCATTTTGAAGAACGGACGTCCTCGTCAACACTTCTTCATTTCTGCTCCCAACGAAGCAGCTGGACTTGAAAACCCCCACTCCACTGCATTTGGGTTTGCGATTCGTTGACGAGGCCCACCGTAAAGTTTTGAAGCCTGTCTTCCACACCATTTCAAGAGAACTCGGCTTGTGCAAGCTTTAAATCGAAAGCATAACGACAGAATCAAAGCAGCGTTTTTCGATGACGAGATTTGGGTGAAGGCGTGAACAAACAATCACCGCTCCGAAGCGGCGCTCCTTTAATCTTCTGATTCCCGAACCCCTTCTCTTCCTTTCTCCCCACTCTCCTCAGGTGAGGAGAAAGGGATAAAGGTTTCCTTTTTCGGTGCGCAGGACTAGTGTTGTTTGCTTTCGAGTATATATATTCACCGCTTATTCTTGATTGCGCCAATCTTCTATACGTGATTCCCGGTATAACACAAACTGCCACGATCCAGTTAAAGTAGATCTACAATTCTAGCTTATTTGAACCACAATACCAAGCCTACCTTCGAAAAGCATGTCACCATTCTCAGCTGTAAGTCGGAGCACCGACCTTCTCCTGACGACCGTAAGTGATGTTGCGTGAGTTTCAAAACAAGGCCTCGAAACGTTAACTCGTTCTTTCGGCGAAGTAGAACGTCACAAAGCTTGTACAAAGGGATGCACAGGAAACCGGGAATAAGAATAACTACATTATCGGCGGGGGGTTTGGCGCATTAGGTTTGCTGATAGTGGCAGGGGCTTGTATAATCTACATGAGGAAAAAAGAACAGGTTCCTCACTGGTGGCCTGGTCAGAGGGAACAAAACGAAGGATCCAGTGGTTAGGGACATAGGGATGACAAAGTTATTGTTATGATACGCGCTTTTTCTCTTTCGCGCCAAGTTCTTATTTTCCGACTCTCGCCAAAATTTCTCGATACAATACTTGACCGGCAAATCGACGCAGACGTTGACCAACCTTTCGCCGAACGGTTGACAACAGGATGATCAACAAGTTGATCAGCTTGGACTACGACTGGAAAACATGGCGGCAAATCTTTCCTTAAAGTGATAAATAACTATAAATACAGGCCTTTCCGGCTGTGAGTTGTATTCGCCACTATACTAATGACACACACAAAGTAGTACTTCAATATTCAATACTATCTTACCTTCAACTTCAATAGGGATTAGCTCCCCCTTTGAACTTAGGAAAGGTAGAAAGACATTGACTGGTAGTCAACAAGACAGGTGAGTATTAAGTACCAACTGTGTAGTACCGGAAAACCCGTAGTTTGCCTCTAAAACCGGCGTATTCCATTTTGGCATTCTTATGACGTGTAATACTTGATACTTAGTATACAAATATTTGCAAGTCATATTAGTGCGGCTTAGAAAGAAGGCATAGCACTCTACAGTTATCAACACTACGTACACAACAGGGTAAAGCCATCGCACTAGCGAAAGACAGGATCTTATGGAGAAGTGAGATTAGAGGTGCACGGATGTCATAGCACTCGACATTACGCATACAACAGGGCAAAGGCACAGCGCTAGCGAAGGAAAGATTCCAGGCACGGTTTGTAGAGATAAGATTCTAAGAGGAAGTCGTAAAAGGAACTAGCAGACCACTGTACTCGAAAGTAGATTTATTAAGCCAAGGCGGTGAAATGCTTGAAATACGAACGCTTTGGTTCGGGCTCGCGGCGGCACCAAGGAGAGCCGCTGACAAAGGCTCGAGAACACCTAAGGGCTCATCGAAACTTGCCAGTCTTTGAGGCACTTGGCCGTTCCGTTATCCATCATCCCGCCTACCGCAAAGATGAGCGGGGTGAAGGGGATGTTGTTGGCCGGTAATCGGCGCCGCTTGTCATCGGTCTTCATCCCTAGGAACTTGGTGATCAAGGCGTGTCCCCTTTCCGCGGAGTTGATGGGTGTGATTGCAGGTGGAAAGTGGGTGGAGATCGCATCTTGGGTACCGAGCGAGACAACCGTAATGTCGTACTCGTGACTTGCGAGTCCTGATGCTGAGGAACCGGTTACCCGAAGGTCGTTTCGTCGGTTGGTTCTGCCGATGACCGGGCGAAAAGGTCCTCCCGTTGCTCCTCGAAGGCTTTTCCGTACTCGCTTCCACTCCCGCCTAGCACCAATTGAGAGGGCATGTCGTACGCCCATTTTGCTAGCTGGCATAATCCATCGGCCTTGACTCTGATCGCGTTCGCCATAGTCGTACGGGCGAGAGTGTTGAAGGCGTTGGAGAAGTCGAGCGAGGTGACATGGGTGAATCCGGCGTCTTCCTCCGAGCCGTTGACGACTCGTTCGACTGCCCTAATGAGAGGCTCCACTCCTCCTTTGGTTCCTACTCCAAACTGAAACGGATTCTGGGAGTCGGGCTTGAAGGAGTCGCGTAGGGTTGCCTTGGTACAGAGTCGGTACACTAGCTCTCTCTCTCAGCGATAGTTTGAATGCCCCCATCCGGTTTTCAAGGGCAATAAGCCGGGAAGAGCAGAGAGGTTCACGTCCCGGGGCAGTACCTGCCAAAAACATGCGTAAGAGACCTGAATACGTTGTAGTATGTAGCTATGAATATTATTATATATTAAAGCTAAATACTTTAGTAATGGTCCTCAATGGGATCGGTCAAGAGCAATTATGCTTCACGACTAAAATGTATAGTAGCTAGTAAACAATAAATGTAGTTTAATTGGCAAGACCACTTAAGCAAGCGAGTCTGTATAGTTACTTGGTTTATTAGTCAACACTTTCGGGGCGCTGGACGAGGAGTTTAGGTAGTCAAGCGTGTTTCATAAGTCATGAAGGGGAATTTGTACAACTGATCTCGCTCTCTTATACAGACGTACGAAATGGGTGGCGAATGCTATTCTGCCCAAGGGCGCCCAAGGGACGCCTTAGGTAAATTTGCATCCGTGACATAGGTTTCTATGTCAGTGACATGGTTTTCTATGTCAGTGACATAGGTTTCTATGTCAATGACAAGGTTCTCTCTGTCACTCAAGGCTATTCTCTGATTCGCTCAATATGGTATCCTAAGAGCTCAAACAGAGTATTATACATAGAAGAGATTTCGGCCAGCTATAAGTACAACATGGTGGCAAATTTCGAATAACTAGTTAAAGACAAGTCTAGAAATTGTACCATATACGATAATCAAACTATAACGAAAAAACTAAGGCTATTACAGATACGCAGATGACTGCAAGATACAAAAAAAAGCTCGTTGAGGGGTGTTGGCAGAATAGCTGCATTGCTCAACTTCTTTGATGCCTAGGGCGCCCCAGATCTCACCATTCCCTCGATCGTTGCCTGCTAATATGCTCCTCAACCCTCGAATTTCGCCCTTTGCCACGTTCTCACCCTCCTAGGGATCTGATATTCGGCAGGGAGATGCCAAATGTGCTGGAAACCTTAGTATAGTGATTGTTGCAGCTGAATCTAACCACAGCTGAAAGGCATACTCAACATCATGCCAGCCCGTTAAATTTGAATGATTGTACTCGTACTGTTCATAATGATTTGCTCGGACGCATATTCGCGCCTTGGAGATATCGCGGTGTCACGAAGGGGAGGCTGTTGAGCTGAGACTCGACACTTGGGTACGACAACGACCTCAAGGGAGAACTAGACTAGGGCTAAGACTGATGACAAGGTAATGGTTTCGAACCACTAAGCTATAGTTGAAAACACAAGACTATAGTATTGACATATGATCTTGCTCTGAAGAGCAAAACAGATTACAAGACGAGGGGAAATCGAGTCTGAAAGCTCGCTATATATACTACAGAACGAAATCGTACGACGCGCAGCGCGCGGGTTGCAAATAACGAAATGATTGATGAGTGATGGTTGACACTTTTGATGTCAGCCGACCACGGGCTTATCGGATGTCCGCGTCAGCCGAAAAGCTAATGGTCAACTGATGACAGGATGTCAGGTGATGCTGCATGCGGACTGGAGTCATTCATAACACGCGGAGATACCATTAGCAACACGATCAATCCGTCAGCAAAGGTCCCATAGTATAGTGGTTATTATATCGGATTCCAAGTAATCCGCTCTGATCAGAGCAGGCTAAGATATCCGAGGGTCATCCGTTCGATCCGGATTGGGATCAATGCTTTTTGCTGGCGGCGGAGGGTTGGGAGCAAGCTTGGGAGGTTGGCGAGGGGGTCGTAGATCAGGAGAGGTGGAGGATGAGCGGGTTCGAAGGGCGGTCGCAGGAGGGCACTTTGTGGGGGAAAGCGGAAATGAAGGGTTGGTCCCCTTCCTATTGCCGCGTTGCAGGCATGGACATCTTCCGATATATTGACCATTATACTATAGTAGTTCTGTTAGATTCAGAGATAAAACGTCTCATAAGTATATATAGCTAGGATACATTTAGTAGCTACTTACCTGTTAGATTCAGAGATAAAACGTCTGATCTAACAGGTGTTGTCGCCAAAGATATAAGGATGAATTCAGCTAACTATAAATATTATTGCAGAGTGTCATAGAGTCCGGTATCCTGTGAAATTCTGCATCTTAACCGTAAGAAAAGCGCTTCCCAGTGACGTGGTACTTAAAGTCGTTCGACCTCCGGCAAGTTCAAGCGATTGGGAACAGAGCTACCTATTAAAGGGCACCATCTGCAATGACTAGCGGCACTTGAGCTATCGCGACGGAACTTTCAAACAGCCGCGTCCCCCGCTAGATTTAACGTTCTATGTTCTACGTCGTGCAATTGGTACGCGGGGAGGTACAATGAAAGGCACAATGAAAGGCACAATGAAAGGCCGCACGTTGTAGGAGTCCCCATGACATTATCGACAACATGAACAAGCCGAATGACGGGAGACTAGTGGCCTCCGAAAGACCCTGCATATTTAAAGGCTCAGATGGAGATCGGTTCGCGGACGGGGGGAAGCTGTGGAAACTGAGTGGCTTATCGAATGGGGAGGCGCCGGGAACTCATCCACGCGCTGCTATATTCACTCAGTGTCATACCTGCCGGATCGATGGTCTGCATCGTGCGTGGGCAATTTGCCTTAGTAGTACGCGAATGCTGACGTTTTGTGTCTGGTCTAACAATACAACGATGAAAATGCTACCGCCATCAGTGGTAGCTACGCGAGTATGTAATCAATGGAATGCCGTAAGTTCGCAGGCTTCAAATCACCTGTGATGGCAAATAGCTGACCAGTGAGGATCATAGAGCTGCAAGATTCGCGGGCAGAGAATGCTGCCAAGACTTCGACTTACCAGAGGTACACCCGCTTCGACTGCCTCTGCATCTTGGCTGTTCTTCATCACTACGCTCTCGACGAAGACGAATGGACAAAAGATCGCGGTTTCCTGGAAGGCCGGCAGCAATCTGCGACGATTTCGTTGACCGCATCAACGAGATTCGACGACTACTAGACACCGACACCCACTTCAGCAGGACTCGGCAGCGGCAGTTCCTTTCTCAAGTTCCAGTTGAGTGGAACGGTCGGCTGGATATGCTTTTGGAAAGGATCCAGACTGTCAAAGCGAAGGTGGTCATTTCTCTTGAGGAGACGGATGAGGGGGAGGATGAGGATGATGGCGGGATGTTCATGGGTTTTGGTTGAACAATTTGTGATTTAGATGGATCTTCCTATAACTTCATTGATAGATGGACTGAATACTACGTGACGAGGTGATGTACAATATCTACAAGCGTCGCGCAGGTGGTGTGCGCCGATGGTTGGGCAGGGTGGCATTAGAGAGACAAGTCTGGATTGACGGCGGCGGAGAGATGGTGGTGGTGACGGGGGGATAACGGATGGGCAGCGGCGACGGAGAGGGGTCGTGACAGCGGGACGGGAGGCGGCGGTGGTGGCGGTGGTAGCAGTGGCAGCGGCGGTGGCGTCATTGGTGGGGGGAGAAAGACGGTGCTGGCGGTTATGACGGCGGCAGCAGCAGTGACAGGCGGGGGCGGTTATGTAGATATTGAAATCTTGAACGACTCTGGCCTATTGGTAACTTAAAAGAATTTCTGTAGCTGTGCTGTGCTGTGCTATAAGGGGGGCCAAAATGGACATTTGAAAAAAACTGAGATTCATACTGCCATATATGGGGGGCCAAAATGGACAACACAGAAGAAATACAGAGGATCATGATATCACACGCGTTTTGGCGCGAACCATCTGTTTGAGCTTTGAAATACCAGTGGACCATCTTTGCGAGCACGCGGCAATCTATGCGACCACTTGATGAAGCCGATTCACGAACAGCGGACCAACTTCACCTTATTCGGTCCTCACCATCTCTTTGTGTACTATCATCAGATAGGGGCAATTAAGGGTAAGTAATCCACTGCTCTAGTTGTCTCTGATTGGCTGTAGTTGAAGATGCGCACCTCTTCCGTATAGAATTGTGGGTGATGTAGCTTGAATCAATCATAATAGCTCTTGCTAACAACAACATCATGGATGCCTTCACTGCCACCCACCTCCTCGCTACACGAGTGCAGGAGATCCACTTGCTGTCGCAAGCCTATCTTGGAGACTTGAACCGCAATCCGCTTCACCTCAGAGCACACCTTACCAGTATCCGTAATCTGCTCAGAGATCTTGAGGATCACGTCCTCGGTAGAGTACCCGATGCCGTTTTCGCTGGGCATTGGCAGAGTACGGTCCACCTTGAAGAAGCCTTACTGGCCATAGAGTGTGGGTATTTCAGAAACGGAGCCGATCCCGCCACCATTCAGAATCCAGCTGTGGGGATCAATGAGGAGGAGTTGCGCGACATGTGTCAGAATACTGTAGTATGACATAGCATATGACATACTCTGTACGTTGACACCACTGACGCCAGTCGCAAACGACGTCAGCACCCGTTCCAGTGATACGTTCTAGATTAACATACACCTGGAACCAAACACACCTCAACTATGTCAGCATATGTCATCATTAAATGTGTCATCATCAGTTTCTCTTAGTCAGGCGATCTTCAGTTCTTTTCGACTACCAAATATAAATATATCGCAAACTCAATTATCTTTCTCAACTAACTATCAGAAGGCAGCGATTATCTCAATCCTGCAACACAGGTAATTAATACCTAGTGTCTATAATCGTGCGACTCATTATTGAGCACGCTTATACTTCTGATAGGTTATGGGCCCAGGCTTTTCAACTTGAAGTCACCTCATCAGATACAAATACTCCCTCGACCAACCGTCGATCCTAGTACAACTATGGCTAGTTCAGACTCCGACTCTGACTCGCATGACGGTGGCTCTGGTCGCATCAAGCCTTTCAGATCAAGCACGGATTACCCTCTATGGGCCAAACTTGTCCTCAATTATTTGGCCGGACATGACCTGCTTGACGCTATCATTACGACAGACGCACTGCCTACCTC